GTGATGGGTTTACTGCCAACCCAATATTTACAAACTCATCGAAATTTCTTATCCGCTAAATAGTTGCTTATCTAAAATTAATTTACCAATTGAGCCGTTAACGACTGGCTTAAATCAACTACACGCTGAAGATTTTAGTCCAAAAAGCACTGTCAATAACCACCGTACCTGGGTACATCAAAATAAATCGGTCCGCAGAATTAAAAGATCTTCACAAAGCATTCCTCATCTGTTATAAAAACTCCTGATTTCTTTAGTATTCTAATGTTTATCTTCTGATACTTCTTTACCACGAAAATTGCATGAAACCCAGTTTCCAAATAACAGAAATTTCTTACTTGAGATAGAAAATGGATTAGGTGTGCATAATAATTTACAAATCTCCTTTCTAACTTCGCTAGGCTTGAAAGATATTGGACGAGGGTAGGAAAATTTAACATTGATAACAATGTCTGCTGTTTCTGCTATTACCATCCTGTTTCGTTCTTTACTTTGTAACTTTATTCTAAAGTTTTGTTATTTACGGTGCAGAAAACCAATTTCTGCAACTTTTAGCCATCCCTTTTCATTCAAAAACAAAAAAAAAAAGAAAAAAAAAACGATACAGTTTTGCTGCAGATGGTTCAGGACCGGTAGGATACTGTATGTTGGTTCTGCTCCCGAAAGATACGATCTGCAAAATTTGCAAGTGGAGGTGATCCTGTAAGAAGCATGCACTCCCAGAACAGGCAATCTTATTTTGACGACTCAAATTTAAGGGCACTCCCTGACGCCAATTTAGAAAGGAGGATAGTTCTTGCACTTTAGGTCTCACACTAAGCAATCGGTCAGACCCAAAGCACGATAGCAGAAGATAGGCTGAGACATCAGTTTACCTCACGATCTCATCGACTCACAGCGAATGTTTTCAGCATTAAGCAACTAGCAATATTCAGGTTAAAAACTGATCAATTTTTGAGCTATTTTCTTTTGCGGTGAAAAAAACGCGCTATATAGCAACTGAAAGAACAATAAACAAATTTGGAAAAATTCCTCACCAAATAGCAAAAAGTGACTTCTGTCTGCTTGAAAGACCGATTACCATTTACTGGTAAACTTACTGTATAATCCACAGAGAACTTTCTGTATTTAACTGTAAATATTACTCTAGAAAAACACTGTTCACAACTTCAGAGTAGTATAAAAGTATGGTGGGACCACACCAGGAATTGCTGAGAGAATTAGACGCAGTTTCATTGTACACCATCTTGAACACCACAAAAATAAAACCTTAAACCTCGACCACCACTTACTGTACCCACTGCCCAGACTTCTCCAATGATGGTCAATCATTCTCCAAATAATTCGCAGAAAGACTATTCTCAACCAGCAGCATTTGCAATCGACCTACATCCACCTTAAAAACTGAACACAATTTTGAAGTTCAGAAAGCCCCAAAACTGTTATTAAGCCGACATCCATGCACTGCTTCCTACCTTGATGAATAAAACCTAATTGGAGCAAATGCAGGCCCTTTTCAAACGGAAGACAAAAATAAACTATGTCTGTTATAAGACCAAATAAATTTTGTTCAAATAATATACCGTGCTCAACGAAACTCTCCTTTCTCTTGCCTATACTTTCAGGTCTATCTATTCGGGACTCCCAGAGCCAATATAAAACTTGCAAGTTGGTTCTGTCAACTCCGCCATCCCAAAACCAGAAGCCTCTACTCTCCTGCTTCAAAACTAGACTAGCAGGCATGGAAGCTGAGAGTGTACTGGTTTAGAAACAACCACAATCAATTTCGGGCACCGGTCGCCTAGATTCAAACATGAATAAAAGTGCAGAATTTCAAATTATAAAGATGGATCGTCAACGAAAACGTCCAATCACAAGGGCAATCGTCCCAGTACATCATGCAAACCGCGTCCAAAAAATTCAAAGAAAGAAAAATGCACTATCAATGCGGAAAAAAGCAGAAGAAACAAACACAACCATTTGCAAAATACGATATGGTTGCCAAAATAACATCTCTCAAACAGAAAACTCACAAGAAACTGAAAACAGCAATCAGCATCAAAGATCTGAAGAAAACCAGTACCCACAACAAACAACTTTCATAATAAAAGGTTTTATCAATGAAAACAACAAAAAACATTTACAACTTCTCATCAATCAAAAAAATATCATTTTATAAAGATGGCAATTGAAATCAACAGCCAACCACTAGCACTATCAGAATTCTGAGCACTTCTCAAAACGCTAAAAAATTTAAATCTCACCTTACAACAAACAACGGCAAAAAAACTTATACATACGGCTAACAACATCATCCTTCACAACCTGAGAGCACTGAAGTATCGAAGAAGAGAAGCAAATCTTATGTACCTTTCAAAGTTGCTCAACACATTCAGACCAGAATCTTTTAAAGGCAATTTTGAATGTTTCAAGTAGAATCTGGAGAGCAAAATTTTGACATCCAAAAAATACAAGCCAAAGGTCAAGAAAATTTCTTGAAACTTCTTCATTGAAATGCCATCCTGAAGTTCCACCTAACCCTTACTTCTTCCCATTACCATTTCTTCCATAAAGTGTGTCAATCACAGACTCGTACTTTTCTTTCAGTGGCCGCCTTTTCAGTTTCAAAGCTTCCGTTAGCAAACCACTTTCAGATGTCCAAACTTCGTTACACAGATATATTTTACCAGGAATTTCAGCTTTTAGTAAGTTATCTAAAAGAATAGAATTGCTAAAATAGATATTTTTGTAAATTCAGAGAACCAAAATTTAAGACTGTACTTTTAATAGCGTGAGCATCCAACCGTTTCTTGAATTCATCCACAACCTCTTTGTTTTCACATAACTGGCTCCATTCCAAACCACTAAACCCAATCTGTAATAAAATTGAAATGACATTCAGACGTTACTTAAGATGAAAGTAGTTTTAAAGCTTTGAATTAAAAAAACAGTTTTGAAATGTGTCTCGTTAATACTTCAAAAAGGAGGCCTATAACCAAATGACGAATTAAAGAAGTTACATCTTCAGCCAATTTTGTCAAATACTTCTGGTTGGGCACTATAAGTGCTATCACAAATGACTCTAATGGACAACCATAAACGCAAACGTTATCAATAAGGGGACAGGTCAAAAGTGCCGTTTCGACTTTTGCAAGTGAAATGTACTCGCCATGTTGCAATTTCACAAGATCTTTCTTCCGGTCTAGAAAAAAATATTGCACTTAAGTTCAGTAATTTTCACAAGAACCAATAACATAAAAATGGTATACCAATAATCATCAAGGACCCATCCTCACGCATTTCTCCAATGTCACCAGTCGCAAAATAACGAACACCATCAATATCAAAGAAACTATCAGATTTCTTGCCGGCCTGTCCGAAATAACCGATTGAAACATTAGGGCCGCCAATAAGGATTTCACCCTGAGGCGGATTGTTGTAGGGACTGTAGCCACCTGAACTGAGAAACATTTGAGACGTACAAGTAAAAAAAGCAAGCGAAAGCAAAAAAATGCAAGTCACCTTCTTCCCATTCCTTTAAAATGATCTGGGAACATCGAATTGGTGGACCTACAGCACCTGTGCTTAAATCGTTAACTGAAAAGAAAAGAATGAAGAAAACAGCCAGTGACTCAACAGAAGGAGAAGGAAAAAAAATCAAAATGGTATTTAAAAACAAACCATCAGATATGGCTCCTGCCGCACAAGTCTCAGTTAAACCGTACCCTTGAATTACAGGACAACACATACAGATATTCATAAACCTTTGCGTCTCAGGATTCAGCGCAGCTCCTCCACTAAGCACTCCTCTCAACTTCCCTCCAAGCAACCTCCTTATTTTTTTAAAAACAATCCTAAAATTAAATAACCAAGTAAACTAAAAAGCGGAGTAAATACGGCACTCAAACAAAAAAATCTTGGTCAAAATGCAAATGAAGGGATAACTCTCAACAAATTTCAACTAAAAAATACTTGACCTATCGAGAAAAGGACTGCAGTAACCCTCTGTATAACGGGCTCGCTTCCTTTCGTAATTAAGTTTAAAAAGCTCCTGCATGAAACGCGGAGTAGAGGCGACTTCATCGCTCACAGCTTTGAAGATTCTATCCATTATAGCCTGAAGCAGAAACTTTTAAAGCTCAAAAAAATCAAAAATAGCAGCCAAAAGATGAAAACTAACAGGTACAGCTGACATCAAAGTTGGTCGCAAGGCATAACAGTCACCATGAGTACCAGGTTGAATTTTCGCTCCCCGATCATGAAGCGTTAATGGACTTGAATAACCAACCCTACAGCCGTGGCTCTACAATTAAAACGCTGTAAACTAGTAAGTGACTGGAAACTAATAACAATAAAAGCATAAAAATTTCTCATTTATATAGAACTTACTAAGCAGACCAGCTCGGCTGCTAACTCATATATGTGAGCTAACGGCAGATAGCCAATATATGTATCTGAATCCGTTATTATACCCACTCCTGGTCCAAGTCCCGCAGCAGCAGAGATGATATTTTCATGGGTTAACATTACACCCTTAGCCGCACCAGTAGTGCCGCTGGTATACATGATTAGAGCAACATCATCTTTGACAGCACTCGAGACTTCTAAATTAAAATTCAATCCCCCAAAAAACGCCCAAATATCTAATATAAAGATGAAATTTTGAAAGCCTACCTATTGGTTCTGAAGAAAGTTGTTCAAGCTCATTAAGTGACAATATTTCATTAAATTGTGGACGTAATAAATTCGAATCCATAAGCTTTTTCATCTTATTAACTGGAGCAAAATACACCAGCGATTTGAGCGTGGAACATTTTCTGCAGAACTTGGCCACCTTTGGTAGCAGCTCAGCTGAAGTGACGAGAACCGTTGCAGATGTCTCATTTATTGCCTGCGCTATAGCCTAAACAAAAAAATAATTATGAAGAACTATAAAAATAATACTAAAGATAAAAGTGCAAAATTAGATTCAAAATACCTCCTCTCCGAGTGTAGCATATACAGTAACAATAGTGACGTTGGCTCTGAAGCATGCGAAGGCAGTTATAAGCCAATCGGCACGAGTCTCGGCAAAAATAACAACCTAAATCACAATTAAACAATTATTAATAACGAACCGAATAAATTTTCCTTTTAAAAAAAAACCTTTGATTCTTTGTCCGTGATACTCCTGAGGCCCGCAGCGATAAGACCAACTCTGTTGTACACCTCTCTATACGTCTGCCAATGATAATCTCCCAGTTCCCACTGCAAAAATTGATATCAAAAATAAGCATAAATATTCATGCCGTGCAAGTCAACGCCATGCAACTCAAACTTTAATACATTTTCGATGACGTTAAACCGCAGCGAAGACTGAAAGGAAATAAAATATAAAGAAACTACAACCGATATTCTCAAAATCTTGGAGGGAACTGGTTCATATTTGAACCAATAAATCAAAAAGTTCAGATTTGTAAAACAGCTCAATGAGACATATTTTGTAAAGCTGTTCAAATTCTTTCAATAAAAAATTTTAATAAAAATAGGTTTCAAATAAATAACCTTTTCAAAAATACGACCATCTGGTTGCTCCTCCTCATGAACTGTAAGAAGCTCTCGGGTCCCAAGCATTTGACAATCAGCATACATCTCAGTTACGTGAGCGAACAGTTTATTAAGAGTATTCTTACCAGGAAAATCTTCACGCACCATTCCGTCTACATGTCTCCACGGACCATCTA